TTCAAAAGACTGAGGGACTGGGGTGGGCAGAATTGACCGGTCAAAGGGGGGGGGGGGGGACTGATACCCCGGCGAGAAGAAACTTCTAGGGGAAGGAGGGGGAGGGTAAAGAGAGCTGTTCCCTCCTCCTTCCTCCCCCCCACCCCCAAGCCTACCTCCACTCCCTAGTCCTCCAGTGCAGCGTCCGGGAAGAGAAGGAGGGGGGAGGTAGGGAGGAGGGAAGGGAGAGGTGGGCAGCAGCAGGACAAGGCTAGTGGGGAAGGTAAGCGCCATATTTGCAAGCGCTTGGAGGAAAAGCAGGCTGGGGGGTGGGGGAGGGCGAGCGAGAGGGAGGAGAGAGAGGAGAAGGAGGAGGAGGAGGAGGAAAGTTTGGCTCCTCACCTTTTGGACTGGGTCTCGGAGGGGTTCCGGTCGCGCTGCCTCCGGTTCTTGAACCAGTTGCTGACCTGAGTGAGGGAGAGGCCGGTGATCTTGGCCAGGTGCCGCTTCTCTGCCGGGGACGGGTAACGATTCTGCTTGTACAACTCCTTGAGCGCGTTGCGCGATTTCTCCTTGAAACAATACACCGTCTCCTCTCCGTCCCAGATGGTCCGGGGCAGGGGGAATTTCCTCCTCAGCCTGTACTTGTCCACGGCTCCCAAGGGCCGGCCCCGCGCTCTCTCGGCTTCACTGTAGCGCGCCTTGTACCAGAGCTGCTGCAGAAGCGGGTGGTTGGCCGACTCGAAGCTGTGGCTCTCGAGGATGCTGTAGAGCTCTGGGTAGATGCCCTGGTGGAAGGCGACCAAAGCTCGGGCTTTCAGGAGACTCTCGTTGCCACGTAGCAGGTCGCTCTGGGGCAGAGACCACAGGAACCGGGCCAGGCGGTCCAAGTTTCCCCCTTGCTGCAATGCTTCGCAAACGCAGGCGACGTGGTCCGGAGAAAAAGCCAGCGGGGTCTGCGCTGCAGCCGCGGCGGCGGCGGCGGCGGCGGCGGCGGCGGCCGCCGCGGCTGCTTGGTGGTTTCGGGCTAGAAGTTCAGAGTGGAGTTGTACCTGGTCCGCCGCAGCTCCCGCGGCGGCCACTGCTGCTGCGGCCGCTGCTGCGGCTGCGGCCGCGGCCGCTACGGCCGCTGCCGCCCCCTCCTCTCCGCCAGCAGCAGCGGTGGAACCCACGGGCTCCATGGGGAAAGGGGCGGCAGCCGGAGGATTGAGTGCTGCCACGGCTCCCCCCACCACTTCTCGTGGCGCCTCCTTTCCTTCGGGGGCGGCTTCCATCCCATTTTCTTGCTTTATCTCCACCGCACTTGCGATCTGGTCCGTGGGGGAGGAAGAGGACATTTTTTGTCGTCCCCCCCCCCCTCCTCTCTTTCTTTCACTCTCCTTCTTCTTTCGCCCCCCCTCCCCCCTTCCCCTCTCCGGAAAGCCCACTCCCTCCCTCCTGGTTTCGGCAGGATCTAGCTGATCAGGTTTCTCCCCGGCCACGCAGTCACCATTAAGATAGCTGCTATAGCAAAGTAGTGTAAACGGATAGCTCCTTTCTGCCTTTCCCCCAACGTGACTCCTCGGGTTGCTGCATACTATATGGCACAAGCAGCCTGACTGGCCCAGGCGAGCCACCTCATTGGCTATTTGCATTCAGAAAGAGGAGGAGACACCATTTCTCTCCCCCACAATCACCCCTCCTTCCTCTCCGTCCCTCCCCCCCCTTCCCCTGACCCTAAACACCTATACCTGGAGAAGTTTGGACATTCTTCTTAATACGGGCCACTGAGTTAGCAAAAACATGTCATCGTCACCTGAAAGCTAGACAGTAGAAGCCTTATAAAAAAGTACACCAGTG